TTGTACACATTAGGGAGGCACAGTGTGCTGTCTACTAATGTTACTCAAAAATCAAAGAGGATTTGACTTGCATACCTGTTGTGTCCATGAATCAACTATTGGAATGTGTATAAATAAATCTTAGCCCTGTCGAATCCTCATACTACTCAGCAACCCCCGACCCGCTGCGCAGTTCACTGCGCTAAAATAGCGGCTGCGCTGAGGACCAGCGCACCTAAAATCCCCAAAATATCCACTGCGCCGGAGCGCACCACAGGGGCTAGCATGGTTTTCGGCCACTGCGCCTTTTTGCAGTGCAGCGCACCGCTATATGCGCAGTGTGCGCTCTACTGCGCACCCTATAGTAGCCCCGCGGCGGACATACTTTCCAATCCACTAATTTGTACACAAGGGGCCTATCTTCCCCTTGCGTACCACCAACAACCAATCCGAAGCGAAATGATCGCCTTGTATGACGCAAGAACAGTCATCTGGTGTCATTGTCTTTATCGAACGTCCATGGAATTCCGCATATCGATCGTCGATGATGGCCTTTGCCAACCATCCTCACCCCTGGATTCTTGTTTTTGCTTGATCGGATCACCCAAGACTTATAACTCAGATTCTGATCCGACCATCCTACATCAATTGAATCAATTACACCGTCTTCAAGTGTTGTTTACATCTATCCGATTCCCACTCAACATTCTAAAAAATCTTCACTTTCTAAACTGTCATTTTACTTCATACTTTGACTTCAAGTTCCGAGTCTATACAATTATTAAAAGTTTTCACTTTTTAAACGGTTATTTTACTTCATACTTCCACTTCAAGTTCCGAGTCTATACAATTATAAAAAATCTTCACTTTTTAAACGGTTATTTTACTTCATACTTTGACTTCAAGTTACGAGTCTATACATCGCTCAAGGAAACCATTATGGCTACATCCAATTCAAAGTCAACATCTTTGACTACTCGGAAACAATCCAAGTCTCAGCCTACTACCTCATCAACCAGGCCGGCTTCCTCTCGTCGACCTACTAGTACTACTCAGACAGTGACATTGGATTCAGATGACGAAGACGAAGAACCAACCGATGGTAACTTTGTCACTGAGAATGAAGGAAGCGGAGATGATCAAGAGAAGTCAAATGATGACTCATTTGATAGTAATGTCTCCCCATCTGATGGTAAGCGCAATCGAAAATCTGTCAAGAAATTGGGTAAGAAGAAGAAACCAGTAGTTTCGAAGCGCAAGAAGGTATGTTCCATTCCAATTACATACAACATCAATTTTGTTTGATTTCTAATTGACCTCTATTCTTTCTTTCAAGGCTAAGAACTTCAAGTTACCTCAAAACATCAACCCCGATCAAGACTCGGATGTTGAAATACCTCGTTCAACCGTTGATACCGAGGTAGACCAATTCGATGGAGTGAAAGAATACTTCTCTGATGTTTACACAAAAGAAGTGGTATGTCTCAATTTTTTCATTTTTCTCTTATATCCTTTTCGTTTTAGTTCTCATTTCTTTTTTCAATTATCATCAAGCTGAAATTTTTTAACCACCATCAGAAACCCGGCGAAATGGCCTCGTATCGCGACTGCTTATGGTGTAAAAAACCGTACAAGATTGGTAAGAAGAGCCAGTGGAATCTAAAAGGCCACCGTGATGGTGATGTTGGTCGCCAAGAATGCGAAAGTCGGCACAAGGCAATCGCTGCAGGTGCAAATCTCCCTCCTACCTGGAAGACGAAGCAAGCTGCGAAAGTTGCCGCTGAAGAAGCCGAGAAGTATCAACACGAGAAAGCTGGAATCGAAACATTCTTGAACTTACCGAAATTTACAGTTGGTCTATTCAACATGATCCTCGTCCTATGGCTTCTTCGAAATTCGATCCCGTGGCTACGAATGGAAGACCCTTATCTACAGGCCGCTTTTTCTCTATGTAATCCAAATGCAACACTTTGGTCGGCATCGTGGTCGGCTCGGAGGGCAATGCAGTACTTTGAAGAGTTTCGTACCAAGTTGGTTCACACACTTCAGGTAATTATTTGTTATCTCTTTCATATCAATAGAGATTGTAGTTGCAGTATACTAATCATCATATTTTCTCAACAGGCTCTCAACTCAAAGATTTGTGTCATACACGACGTATGGACCACCAAAGGAGGGAAACGAGCTTTTATTGGAGTTGCGGTATCTTACATAGACGAAGACTGGCAGTTTCATGTCACTCACCTGACATTGAAGCTAATCGCATGGAATCATTACGGTGCTTTGCTAGCTCGGCCTGTAGGAAAGTTTCTGATTCGACACGGTCTTCATAAAAAGATAGGTCCTTCCTTAACTATTTCGTTTATCTTTTCCCAACTCCAAATTAAAAAGAATTGTACTAATTTCATCTTTTTATCTTTTTCCTAATTATACATGATAGCACAGACAACGGACTCAGGATCAAGCAACCCAATTTTAGCAAAAGAACTTCAAAAGATGTTCTTGGAATGCAATGACCCAATCTTCTGGGACTCTAATCGTAATCAAATACGATGCTACTGCCACAAGCTGGCTTTGACAGTCAAAGCCGGACTGGAAGTGATTGGATTAGGGGATCATGGCAGAACGAAACCAACAATTCCTTGTGGAAAAAGACTTTGTCTACTCCTTCCTGACGATCACCTCCCTGCACCAAAGATCGTGATGGAAGATGGCACCGTCGTTGATGAAGATGGTGAGCTATTAGAAAATTGTGATAGTGATAATGAGGATTGTGTGCAACAGGAAGTAGGTAAAGATATTGAAGCCAGCGATGATTCCGACGATGATCAGACAGCACCCGACTACAAGGTACAGAAGCCTGATGCCGCTCTCTTACCTCGGGCAGTAACCAAAGTAAGTCACTTGATCTTCTCACCTCAAACAAAAATTAATTCACTAACTGATTCCTTGATTGCTGAAGGTACGAAGAATCAACAAATTGATCACTTCCAGTGCACCACGACTTAATCATTTCAAGACTTGTGCAACTCAGCTGGGATATGTAGGTGCTGGTCTGATTGCTGCTCATGGACAGCGGTGGAACATATGGTTAGACGCCCAAACACGCTTGTGCAAAGCGAAATCAGTAAGTGTTTTTGTGTTTTTGTTCTTTGGCTATATATTTATAAATTGTTTGGTATGTAGGTGATTAATTTCATGATTAATGAAGATCAAGAGGGCTTCTATGAAGGTATTACTATTAGTCCTGAGGAATGGAAGGCTATCGAGGCATTGAATGAAGTTTTAGGGGTGAGTATTTTTGTTTTCATCAAACTTTTCCAAAGTTATCTTTTTCTGATTTCCCCTTTCACTCTCTCTCTTTCCATTTCTTCAAATTTTCAGTGCTTTCTACGATCAACGAAGAAAATGGAAGGCGACGGGCCAACCGGTGCATCTGTTTTGTTTCAATACTCTGGATTGATCTCGGTTCTTGTAAACATCAAACAAACGACCCCACATCAAGGATTATCTGACATGATCGGTGGGATGATCAAGCAGCTACGTGAATATCAAACCGAGTCACTTCACTGTGACCCAATTGTGATGGCCACAATTCTTAATCCGAGACTTCGACTTGAATACTTCAAAAATAAGTATTCCGATTACGCGGCTTGCGCTGAGGAATTATTCCGCCAGACTTTTTCTCAGTACGAGGAAAATAATCCAAACTCTGCATCGAAGACTACCTCTCAAGCCGACCATGAAACTGATCAGCCCGTCGATCCACTGGACGAAACCAATGTTTTTGGCACTTCTGCTACGGTAGTTTTATCAAGTGACGAAGAACTTACTCAGTACTTCTTGGGCATGCATCCATGTGAGAGCGACATGGATATACTGGATTGGTGGCGAGTAAGTACTCTTTTCTCTATATAAGTGACAAGGCTGACTTCATCATCTACCGCAGCGCAATCAAACACGATTTCCAAAAATTGCCAAGTTGGCTCGTGATTTTTTGGCATGTGTAGGATCTTCTTGTGCAGTTGAAAGGACCTTTTCAACGGCAGAAATTGTGTGTTCCAATCGACGAGGTGGGTTAACTTCAAGATCAATCGAGCGAGCTGTTGGGGTCTGTCAATGGCTCAAACAGAAGTTTGTCCCAGATGGTGAGATTGGAAAGGCGGTTGCAGCTGTGGAACAGCTGGTTGCGGGTCTGAAGAAGAAGAAAAAGGTAGCAAATGTGTAGATTACTTACTCTGCTTCATGATTTCAATTTTTATTATCATTTTCTCTCAAATATTTGTTTTTTATATTTCTCTCTGATTATGTCCTACAACAACTTTTGTGTGTGATTTCTCGTGGGTCTTAGCCCTTAACCTTGTTTTTTTTTTGCCCTGGTAAAAAAAATTGAGCGCACTTTTCCCTCCCCTGCGCTGCGCTGCACTGCGCTATCGACAGCGCTAGTAAGCTCCTGCTTTGCAACCACTGCGCGGTTTGCGCCGCGCTGCGCAGTGTTCAGTGCGCGCTCTGCAAGCTCAGCGCAATTTTCGCGTAAAGTGCGCTGCACTGCGCTGGGGTCAGGGGTTGTACTCAGGGTGATCAATGTGCTACATTGATCTCTATCAAGGTGCCCCATGAATCTCAGAATTGGGTCAGCTCTTATGTGGCAGATAGATACCACTTGTAAAGAAGTATCGGGAATGCTATATCTGTAGATACTTAGAACAAGAACACTTTGGCAATTACCAGTAAAATGCATGAATGATTATGCAGGATGAAGTTGAGTTTCAGGTGTCTGCTTGTGACCATGTCAGTCTGAGTGTCGTACCACTCTTGTTGATGAAGAGGGGGTTTCTTTGATGTTGAGGAGAGGATGAAACTTTTGAGTGAAGATCACGTGTTCGGCAAAGAGATGTACGATTTCAAGTCTGAAAATGTTGAGAGACCCGGACAGCTTAACTTCAACTCGAACCACTCACAAACACGAGATGCCACCATCCTCACCTCAAATCATAGCATTCACTTCTCAGCTCACCAGGGCATGTCGATCCCTGGTCAAAATTCAACCAACCGTCATTGTTCGGAAAGCCTCATGGCTACCTAGTCAGCTTTCGGAGAGACAAAGTCATCTCAAACCCTTTCATCGATCGACCTCCACATCTTCAACAGCTTACCCTTCTGGCTCAGTCAAAAACCCGACTAAAGTGATTCCTTCAACTTCTATCTCACTCTCAAAGTTTCAACGAAAAGATAACCTATCCGGTTCGAATTCGATTCCTTTCGCTCACCGAACGCTGCCCGCATTACCAGTCAGTTTTCTCATTTTAAGGATATACAGAATGGATCACATGTTAACATCACATACTCGTTCCTATAGGATCGAAGACCACTGTATATTTTAACATTTTTGGCTATCTCTGGAGTTTGGGTAACATTTGTTTACTTTTCAACAAATGCTGAAAAAGCCAATTCGTCAGTAGTCAAAGCTGTTTTGTTCGAATTACGTACAAATCCTATGAGTAAAGAAGCACTTGGTACATCAATTCGACCTGAGAAAGATGATTTATTTGGTCAACTATGGGTAGATGGACAGGTGCGTTAACATTATGTTGTATTTAGATGTGAGCCGAGGAAGAGGTGTTCAGGAGTCAATGTAGTTTACTGAAGAGTATTGGTTTTTGAAAGATTAATTTGATGCAAGGTGCAGTAGATGTCGCTTTTAGAGTGACTGGCTCATCAGGTTAGATCCTCACTACATTTAGTCAGCTATGCTAGACTTGAAAGTTTCTGATTATCTTTCGGATCGTTTTATTCAGACTCGGGGAAAGTGTACTTTACCTCAGTCAGACGTGAGCGAGATTCGGAGTTTGAAATCAGTTGAGTGATTTCTTTATCATATTCAAAACATCTTTGAACCAATGCCTGCATCAGAACTTACCGCCACACGATTTTATTTTAGTCCGGTGGAAACTTATCCGAGATGATGGTACGGTCTTCGATCTTAGTAAAGAGCCCACCCCCACCTTTTTCACCGGTAACGGGACATCTACCCTCATCAAACCACCAAAAGGATCTTGATCAACTCGTGATACCCTCATTGTCTAAATGGAATTTGGCGTGGATTCACACAAAACCGCTTTGGCGAGGTTGATATGATTTAGACTACACGCTGCTGCCAATCACTGATAATTCGTACTAGCACGCGTCACTTGGGTCCAAATCAAGAGGGACTATACTGTCATCTTATTGTATTGTCCCCACATGGGTTGAAGGTCTGCCTGGTACCAGCCAGATAGCACCTTGAATTTCCTACCAAATTGATCTCTGAAGCCTTTTGCAGCAGTGTCTTGTGGCCTTGTATTGTATGTAAGGGTATGTAGGGTGAAGGAATTATATACACTAAGCGTATATAAAAGTTCAGTGTGACTTGTGGCTGATCTCAGAATAATTCTGATCTGCCTGAGGTTTTTCAAATGGTTGCCTGTTGAAACAACCGCACATCATATGATCATTCAGCATTGAGTTCAGAGCTCAATGGATTTATAAGCTAAAAACAAATGCCACAAACTTAGCAAAGCTCTTTGAGATGTTGCTCTGAGAGTGCCTTACAGGATAATCATTCTGGGAAAACTCAGCTGAATGTTCACATGTATTTTGCTCATTCAGATTCACCAGGATTCACTTGTTGTCACTCTGAGCTCTAGCAAAGGACCACAGACTGTCAAAGACTTTATCTGATACTATAGAGATACCTCTCAGTATGCTCAGTTTCAAGGAAGGCTACAACCTGGCCTCAGGAGACATTATTTGAGTGAATTCATAAATTTTGGGGAGCCCTCTTGGATAGGAAAAATACCTCCTAAAAGAAGAGCTCACAGCTATATGGAGTGGACTCATTGTAACCCTCACAATAAATACTTGGGGCAACCTCTATTAAAGAATTTTATTCATGTGGGAATTTGGAAAAGGAAATCAACTTTTAATTTTTGGAGCTCATCCCTGGGCCCCATGTCACATGTTTAATGTGCCCCACATGAACAAACTGAATATACATAGTACCTATTTGGTTAGAAAAAGCCTGAACAAATAAAAGCTATAAAAACAGTCATAAAAATTCCTCAATTCCATCATCCAATTGAAACTGTCTGTCTCATAACCAATTGGCTACCATCAACTCCATGAAATTGAAGACCGAAATATATTACCAATTTTTTCAAGAGTAGATACAGGTGTTTCAATTTTGAACTTGGAAGTATTCAATACCCTTCTCTTCTCAAAGTAAGATTCAATCTTCTTTCTTGTTACTGGATCATGAGTTTGTAGTTTTGTTTTCCAATCTACCCTTTTAAGTATCTTAGCATTCTTGGCCCTATCTTTTCCAAGATTTAATGAATCACCTATAGCTGGCATTGGTAGCTTATTGATACCTTCATCAATCCACATCAAATAATCCCCAAACTGCCACCAGGAATCCTCATTAGTTTCACCATCATCTGCAGTCAATATAAAGTGATAGTTGTCTTGTAGAGTTTCACAGGCCAATATGACAAGTCTTAATCTGTCTTGGTATAATTTCCAAAGCTCAGGTTGACTTTGCAGCCAAGCCCTTTCAGGTGAATCATGCCAAGGGAAAGGACTCTTGTCCAGTATAAAACTCTTGTGTAAGGCTTCCATTTTTTCTGTAACTTTCTTTTTGTTTTGTAGTGAGGTCTTAGTGATATCCATGTTTCCAAACTCTAAGACATCTCCAATGGTTAAAACTTTGACCAAGTCTACACCTTGTTTTCTCCCCTCTACAAGCTTCTCTTCATCCCACCACTTAGGTAAACCTTTGCGCTTCAACATGTATGATATGATAGCCCTTCGTATTCTGAATTCTGGCCCCAAAACCTTTTTGAGAACCTCTAAATCACTTGGCTCTCCAGATAGGTATTCTATCAGATTATTCATGTACTTCAATTCATCAATAGTCAGATTTGTGAATGTTTCCCAAGGTATATCAATTCTAAATGCAATTAATAAGAGGTCCTTGGCTCTATTGTTAATCAAATCTCCCCTTTCATTTAGAATCTTTGAAATTTCAAATTGATTCATCTGAGCTTCCAAAGCAACTGATCTCCTTGTGAATTCAACAAGACTCAATGGTGATTTATCTCTGATGAGAGCAAACATCCTCTTGTCCAACAACAAAGATTTTCTCTTAGCCAGTTCAAAATCTTCTTGAGTTACCTTGATTGGTAGGAATTTCTTTTTGTTCTTCACTTTGAGAAGACTACAAATAAATTGGACAGTCTCTTCATCACTCATATCCACTTGCTTGTTTGTTATTTCTTTTGAAATATGATCTGAATGTGATGGATCTTTCTTCTGGACCAGAATTGACTGAACTGTTTCTTTACCATTGTTGGTTTTTACATTGGAAGATTCTTTTTGGCCCTGATCCCAGACAATATCTTTTGTGTCTATATTTCCAGAGCTTTCAGAGAGATCCTTTGGATGTTTGATTTCTACTACATCAACTTCCTTTTCATGGCCCTGATCCCGGACAATATCATCCGTATCTATAATTCCAGAGCTTTCAGAGGGATCTTTTTGATGTTCGATCTTTACTCCATCAACTTCATTGACATTTGCTTCTTGCTTATCAGTCTTTAAAAGTTCACCATCTAATTTTTCCTGATGATGAAATTCCTCAGAATGTGCTTGAACCCCTGTCTCAGACCAAAAGTCACTTGCTCTTCTCTGTATGGGGTATGGGGTCTGTGTGGCCCAACACCAAAATGAAATGAACTCATGTTTATAAGGTACCATGTGTCCCAGATAATCTGATAGTTTTCGGTCTGGAATCTTGGTGGTGAACTTTGCTAGCAGCCCAGGATTTGACTGAAGACCCACTGTTGAACTTGTTTTTTGTGGATTGCCATGTGGTAAATTGATATTTGTGGACTCTGAACTCAATCTATCTGTCAGACCCCACTTTGAAAACTTGATCTCCTTCATTCTTTGCATGAATATCTCTGGAGTGGTTTTTATCTGACTCCAAAGTGCAGGCACTCCTTTTTGGATTGGTGAAATGACTCCAAGATAATTTGATGATTTTAGGTCTTGAAATCTGGGAGTTAACCTTTCCAATAGCCCATAACTTGACTTTGCAAGACTTTCAGAAGGTTTGGTTTCTGTATCTTCATCTTTTGTGTTTCTACTTGTAGGTTTTGAAGCTAATTTATTTTTTGTGTTCCGCTTGCACCCACCAGAATTTTCTTGCTTGATTTTGACTGATTTGATACTACTAGGAACTATAAATTTCTCCTTGATACCATTGATATCATCACTTTCAAGTATCTCAGGTGTCTTCTTGTCAGGTACTGGTATCTCTGATAACAAATTCCTAAAAACAGTGCAATGGAATTTGTTCAGCATAAATGGTAGCTCTAAACCAAGAATTGTCTCAAAGCTTGATAGGCTCACATTTTTTCATTCTCTGCTTGGATATATTTTGATTTTGTGTTTGAATTAGTTTTCTTTGGTTCTTCCTTGGTACTTTCCTTCTGGCTGTGATCAAGTAAATCGTTTGGCCTGTTGTCAGTTTTTTTGAAACCACTATGCTTTTCAACACCCCTATTTTTGGTTGCATCTAGTGAGACCTTCTGGAGTAGGGGCCTTTTTTGGAATGCATCTCTACAAATAAAAACAGATTAGTTGGACTCTTTATTCTGCCAAGAGAAGATTGTCCCATGAATCAAGTTTATGACTTACTTTTGCACAATTGTCTGTGGAGGAGCTGCCACATGAGGGAGCTTGCGAGTCTTAGTGTCTATGATCTTTTGAAATCTTTTACTTTGGACCTCATAGTTTTCTTTTAAGCTTTGCTTAGGCTCCTTCAATGTGGAAGAAGTAACCGTATTCTTTGTCACATCTGTTATTGGAGGTTTCAGAATCTCATTATTGACACATTGGTCTTTCATCTCAGATCCTTGAGGGATGTTGAAATTAGTGCGTGTTTTCTTTTCATCTACTTTTTGAGAAATTATTGGGGGAAACACAGGGGAGTTTGTTGCAGCTTTTGTAGAACTTTCTGGAGGCTGTTGTTCAGTTTTCTCAAGATCGACATTATTTGACACCGAGTATTTTCCGGGGCTTTCCAGGTCATATAAGTCCTTTCTGGTATGGAAGGTCAAGAATCCTTTTGCATATTTAAGTCTACGGATCCACAGATCCATGTCAAAACTTTCCTGACTGCTTTGCAGCTCATTGTTGTCCCCAGAATCTGAATCTTTGCCACTTGGATTTGACATAATCGTTTCGCCAGTGTGGCCCTGTGGCCAGGGTATCAAGATATTGCGAGTCGAAGAGATTGCGTGCTCTTTGTTTGAATGAAACATGGAAGTGGAAAGTAGATCTGCATGAGGCTGTAGGCTTACCCAATTGTCACCGATCAACACTTTTTCAATTTGACCAAAACCTGTGTTCTTTGCATATTCCTGACTATCATCGAGACGATTTGGGATGTCACCAAAATCTTTGGAAGAGGCTATCAATTTATTTACATGCTGGTGTGATTTTACACTTCCAGGATACGTAGGTCTTCTGAAGCTTCTATATTCAGATCGAGAGCTGAACACATCAAGCACTTCGTTCAGATTTCTGATGTATGGATCGTAGACGTAGAGATACTTACAATTCACGCTTCCCATCGTTGTTTCGAGTCCCACCAGAAAGATCTTTTGAACCAGATACGGAGGTCTTGTCGATGTCAGGACTTGATTTGTCCGCCACAGTAGGAGAAGACCCTTTGTCCCTCGCTGCTTCCTGTTTGAGCTGAGGTTTTCTGACAGGAGGTTGGTCTGCGATCGACTTTCCAAGCAGCGGGGGAAACTCAATCTCACTGTCTACAATCGTGTGCTTCAATTTTTCATCCAATGGTATTCTCTGAGACCGCTGTTCTCTGGCTGAGTCAGGTGGGCGAGAGTAGCTGGGATGGGCCTGCGCGCGCGATGATCTACTTGGCTTTCTAGTATCCATAGCAGACACCTTATTGCCACTATTGAGAGGGAGTTCCAAGGTGTCTACCGGATGAGGGTTCCCTAGGTCTGCCTGCCAATTTGTGGACGGATTTCTGATGCCGTGAGGCTTCAAGTTTCGAAAAGTGGGTTTTAATGAGCAGAAGTGCATCTGTAGCAGTGGAAAATCCACCTACCAAATTGACGTAGTTCGGAGAAAAGAAAGGTGCGGGCGTATGGTATGTTGGAATGGCAGGATAAACTATCGAAGGTTGAACATGGGACGGAGGATGCACGTAGAACGGTGATGCCATTGGCACGGCGGGATAGTAAGGGACATATGTGATACCGGAGAGTGGGTCCACCAAGCGAGGTGGTACGTGAGATCCATATTGCATTTGGTGATACGGATATTGCTGTATTGGAAAGCCAGAATACGAATATGGCTCGGCGTACCAATGACCCATACCATCAAATCCCCCGTACGCGCTGAAGTGGTGATGTGGTGAGGGAGCTGAATAGATGGGTACAGGAGGACTCTCATGATAATCTCTATCAAGATTGAAGATCGGGCGAGAGTCTTGTTGTCCATTCAATTTCAAGTGCTCTGCACTTTGTACTTTGCTTCTTCGACTCGCTCCAGAGCGGATTTCACGTCCTGGGTTATCCTTCGAAGGATCAGCAGTCTATTGGAGCAAAGAAAAGACATTATGAGTTCGAAAGCCAGCATCAGAAGTAAGATGAGAATCGAGGTTACTAACGGTACGCGCCATTTTAGACTCGTGTGCGTGCTGGCTCACATTCGGTGGATGTGCTGGAGTATTGTCTGCTTCAACAGGACCTGAATATCGGGTGTGAGCTATCTCGTCTTTCTCTTCAGCTTGAGGTGAGCTATTGACGGAGTTGCTTCCCCGAGCCGAACGAAATGACGACGACACCTCTTCTTCTGTTCGAATCGAGTCTGGAGAAGTCTCAGAGACAAAATGTGCGGATGTAGGCGCCAGTTCAGGCTTAAACAATTGTACCGAACCACATCTGCGCTGATTCAATGTCACAATGACTATAGCCCAATACATCAAGAACATCATCTTGGTAAAATTTTGTTGTTCGTATTGGAGGAAGAGCCGATGTTGGGCATATGATAGTAGAAGGCTCTTTGAGCGCTTTCGGTCGGATGAAAAGCTAACCACAGCTGTGCTGTTCGGATGTCTGCCCGTACTCCTGACTTGAGTATCTACGGGTGGAGATCATCGCGCGCAGAGTGGTCAGGAGGGTATATGAAGCTTGTTTCTGAAGCGTTCGGGATGCGAAGTAGTCTTGTAGACAGCCTTGAAGAAAATACGTCACTGGATGCCCTTGGCGGACAACGCAGTGGTTCAATCAAATTTGACGTTGAACCATACCGTATTTGTAGGTGAACTAGAATTGCGTTGCGCAAGTGAGCTTACGTAAGTAAGCCCCTCTTCCAATGCGGCCACCTCCGCTCTCGAAGAGGGGCTTAGGGTATACCCCGACTTTGGCCTGAGACCAGCAAGTGAGCATGCACAAGGCTCATTATAAGAAGCTCTGGCAATTTTTTGTGAGGTTGCACAACGTTAAGAGCCCTCAAAAAAGGATTTTGAGCAAAATTGCTTGAAAGTCCTGCTGGTCTCAGGCCAAAGTCAAGGCACTAGCCCTAAGCCCCTCTTCAAGAGCGGACATGGCCACATTGGAAGAGGTGCTTAGTTACAGCACATTAGTACTTGTACATTTTCTTATGATATTCTTGCTACAAATTTTGAACCCCCCAATCAAAAAACCAGTAACTCAGGTGAGGAAGCATATGCAAAGATATGAAGCACTTGAACAATGTACTTGATGATAGCCCTTGCTCAAGTGAGTCTGACCAGAGCACAAGCGGTGTAAAAGACTAGCTAGAGTGCATCTCTCCAAACTCACATTTTCTGGTGGAGTTCCAAGAATCAAGTACATAAGGGTACTTTTTTCAACTAACCTTCTACAAATTTCTACAAAAAGCTCCCAAAGTTCAGTGTGTAGTTCTCTGAAGCTTTCTACATAGGTTGGGACCCTATCTGCTGGTTTAACTTGAAAGGAAGTGCTCTGGTGTCAAAATGTAACATCAAGGGTATCCAAACCTTGTGTTTTGTGCCCCAGAAGTTTCAGAAGTGATATCCAGAAACTGTTGGGACAGCTCCAAATGTTGCTGGATCTCAACATGACTTTGCAAACTTCAGGCACACCTGATGTATCTGCACAACAGAGCCTTCTAAATAGAGTCTTTGAATTCCAGAGGCTTAGAGGTGCTCTCAAATATTCTCAGAAGTGTCAACACAACTTTTGAATACCCCTATTGTTATTTCTATGCTTCCAGATTTCATTGGAGGCATATACAGAAGGCTTGGGCTGGCTTAGGTCATTACAACAGGACATGAGGCCTGTTCTCAAGACAGCTCTCAAGCTGTGCAGAATGTTCATTTTGCATCAAAAGTGGTACCCAAATATGTTGAAAAGTATACAGAACAAAAGAAGAACATTCTGAGGGTTTTTGTGATGAGGTGTAGGGGGAAGTTGAAAAAAGTACATAATGTGACTTACTGCTTGCCCAAAAATGCAAGTCTGTTGTAAGCCCCTCTTTGTGGGTGCAGCAAATGTGCTTGTGAATGGCTTAGTTAAGCTTGAAAGATACCACACATCTGAACCAGGATATGATGGATCTTCCTCCCTTTGTACATAAGAATTCTCCTGGACATAGACATCAGATTTTACCCTGGTAATGGCATCTGGGTCTTGCGCATGAGGCCCAAAAGCCCACGTGATTGACAGTCACATAACCCTGGACTCTTCTGAGGGACTTCTATATGGTCTGCTCAGCTCTAGATTATAGTCATGTGATGGTACAGGTAGCAGGCTCATCCAATACTCCTTATATGGGCCCATAAACCCACTTAAGATTTTATCTTCTTGAAGTTATACCACATGTATAAAAAATGACAGAGAGAAAAGCACACATGCACACTATCAAGTTATCTGATCACACACAGAGAAAGCCAAGATACATGCGCCCAAGATATTTCTACCCATCATACTGTGACTGTACCAGGAGGCTTAAAGCCTCACAAGTACTGAAAAAAATTGCCAACAAGTCAGCTCCTGAGCTGCCATATGAATTATAAAATAATCAACAAAAGTTTTCCATTTTCAAGGCAATCAAAAAAATAAACATATAGGTCACAAAAATTTGTTTTCAGAAATCTCATCAATTATTCTCAAAGCAAAATTATTCCCCTAGGAAAAATGGAAAATCTTTGTAGATCACTACCCAATCTTCCAGCAGGCAAATGTTTCATTAATATCTGAAAAGGCACCACCAATGTGATAAATCCAAACAGGTTGATGCTCAAAATGTCAGGTTTTGTGATTACTATGATAAAGCTGTCATCAAATAAAGATATTGTCATCATCTAAGTGATACCATATGAGAATCAAATGGTATACTCCAACTCTAAGGAATTGAGGATCCAAATAGACTCTTGATTTTTGCAGTAATAGATACAGGTGTTTCAAGCTTTATTTCTGAAGAATTCAAAGATTTTCTCTTTTCAAAGTACACTTGAATTTTCCTTCTGGTTTCCATATCATAATTTTGTAGTTTTCCTTTCCATTTTACACCTTCAAGTATCTTTGCATTCTTGGTCCTATCCTTTCCAAGTTTCAACAAGTCACCTATAGTAGGTATAGGGTGCTTGTTAATGCCTTCATCAATCCACATCAAATAATCTCCAAACTGCCACCATGAATCCTCATTGCTTACTCCATTATCTGCAACCACTATAAAATTCTGGCTTGAGGTCAAGGTTTCAAAGGCCAGGATGACAAGTCTTAGCCTCTCTTGATATAATTTCCACAGCTCAGGTTGGCTTTCTAACCAAGCTCTTTCAGGTGACTCATTCCATGGGAAGGCTTTTTCTTCTGGGGATATAAATGTTTTATACAGACTTTCCATTTTATCTGAAACTTTATTCTTCTTTGTCAGTGAGGTCTTACTGATATCCAATTCTCCAAACTCTAGAATATCTCCAATGGAAATCACCCTAACTATGTTTAGAGCTTGTCTCCTGCCTTCCTGTAACCTTTCTTCATCCCACCACTTATGTGAAGATTTACGCTTCAACATGTATGATATAATTTCTTTTCTTAATTTGAATTCTGACCCCATAAGGGCTTGGTAACCCTTCAAAGTACTTGGATCTTGACATATATATTCTATCTCATCATTCATTGACTTTAATTCTTTCTTGTTACAATTCGTGAATGTTGGCCATGGTTCATTACCTTTGAATATGCTTGATAAATGGTCCTTTTCTGTTTTTGAAAGTGCATTGTGCTCTTCACTACAGACAATCAATAATCCATGTTGCTTGATTTGGCGGTGGAAAACTATAGTTCTCCTTGAAAACTCAGCAATAGGCAATTGTGATTTCTTTTTGACAAGCTGGTATAGTTCTACAACTGCATTCCCAATATGATTCTTGATCTGCATATAATCTTCTCGAGTTATCTCAAGTGGTAGAAATTTCTTTTTGTTTTTTAATTTTAGCATCTTGCAAATCATATTTATCTTTTCTGCTTGACTTAGATTTGTATTGAATTTTTCACTTGAAGAACCATTGGATGTGGATGGGGTGTTGATTTGGACAGAATGTAACTGAGATGGATTGTTTACATCACACTCTGCTTCTGGGTTTAAAGATGAGTTTTGACTTTCATCTTGGACAAAATTTTCTTTATTATTTGGTTCAGAATCTTTGGCCAAACTCTTTGAATGTTCTATGTTTGCTTCATCAAATTGATGATTCTTGTTTTCTTTGGTCATACTAAAAACACCTTGACCAACAACTTCTTTGTCATCACCAACCTGTATGAGTTCTTCTTGATCTGCCTTCTGAACCCACAAGTCATTTACTTTTGTCCATATGGTTCCTGGGGTATCTTTTATCCGGATCCATAGTGGAGATACTTGGTTTTTGATAGGTGAAATCTCACCAAAATTGATTGATGATCTTAGGTTTGAAATCTTCCTGGAGACCTGCTCCAATATCCCAGGATTGGACTCAACACCAATATCAGTTTTTTTGGCTTGCACATTGCTCCTGAGGTTATCTGTTGGCATTGGACTCAAGTCATCTGTGGAAGCCCACTTTGGAATCCAATTCCTATCCACTCTCCTCATAATGGGCTGTAAAGCGGTCTTCATCCAATTCCACAGTCTAGGTACTTCTTCTTGGATTGGTGGAATGGTTTCAAGATAATTTGATGCTTTAAGCTTTAGGTCTGGAAGGCTGGGCGTAAAGCTTTGAAACAGTCCATAATTTGACTCAGGTACATCTTCAGGAGGTTTGGTTTGTTTATCCACATTTGATACATTTCTACTTGAAGGGTTGGAAGCTGCTATCTTTTTGGTATTTCTTTTAGACCCACCAGAATTTTCTTTCTTGGTTTTGTATGATTTGATGCTACTAGGAACTATGAATTTCTCCTTGATCTCCTTGGCATCATCACTTTCAAGTATATCAAATTTTGTCTTGTTAGGCATCGGTTTCTCCAATGCCAAATTCCTAAAGGTAGGGAGAAGTAATCTGCTCATGAGTATGTTGTCCTAATCTTCTTTTGAACCAACAATTGTTTTTTAAGCTTACTTTTGATTGTCATCAGGTTGGATGCATTTTACTTTTTTCTTTATTTGAGCATTTTCTTGAGTATTTTTTTCAAGGCTTGAATCAAAGAACTCCATGTTCTCCTTCTCAACTATGTTGGGGTGATCATACTTTCTCATGATCCTGCTTGTAATCCCTTCATGTGATATCTTCTTGGGCCAAGGTCCTCCTAGGAATCCATTTCTTTGGACAAAACACAGATTAGTCAGCATATTTCTCCGGGACAGATTGTCTCAATGCTATAATTTTCTGGCTTACTTCTGGGGGTGTTTCTCTTGGGGAAATGCCAAATCAGGTGGAGCTGGAGTCTCTGTGGTTAGAGTATTTCCAAATCTTTTGATTCCTTCAAAATTGTGGCGTTTGACTTCAGGAGTACCTTTCAAGCTTGGATTAGACTCTCTTATTATAGAGACAAGAGGTGTATGCTTTGGCATTGCTGTCTTTGAATGTCTTAGAATACCCTTCTTGAGGTTTTGGTCGTTTTGCATATCTTCCCTTCTGACCTTTGGTTCAGTTTTCGAGGTCTTTACGTCTGCCTCTCGAGAAGATTTCCAGTTTAGGGCAGGAGATCTTCTTGAGACCTCTTCGGAGATATTTGAAGGTTGATTCTCACTTGCAATAGGCGTGACACTTTCCAAAGCGAAGTCTTTTGGGTTTTTTTCATAGTTATACAAATCTTTTCTAGTATTGAAGGTTGGAGATGCCTCTACATCTTTCAGTTGACGGATCCAGAGATCCATGTTAAGAGTTTCTTGCCTTATATGCGAGTCCTGTTGGTCCTCGAATTTTAAAATTTCGCCACTTGGCCTCGGCGTAGTTGATTTTTCGGGTTGTCCTTGTTCAGCTGACCAGTGCATCAATATATTACGGGTTGGAGAGGCTGCCTGTTTTTTGCGTGATTGAAGTACGGAGATGGATGGTATATCCCTGTGTGGTTGTAGGCTCACCCAATTTTCCCCAATCAGCACTTTTTCAGCTTGTCCAAAACCTGCGTCCTGCGCGATTACCTGATTATTATCAAAATAACTTGATGTATCACCAAATTGCATTGAAGAAGCTATTAAGTTATTTACATGCTGCTTTGATTTCGCACTTCCAGAATAATGAGGTCTTCTTAACCTTCTTTCCTTCAATTGAGATCTATTTGCATCATGATGAACTTTGTTCAGTTCTGAATTATGAAGGATAGGCTGATTAATACTTACAAATCCCGTTCATCGACGTTATTGTGACTATGGCCAGAAATATCTTGCCACTTCAAGTCAGATATGGAGGTCCCACTGATGTCGGCTCTTTGTTTGTCCGTCGTACTTGGAGGATCCCTGTTGTCCATATCCTCTTCTTGTTTAAGCTGAACTTTCCTCACAGGAGGTTGATCTGCAATCAACTTCCTCTTCAACTGCGGGACTTCAATGTTACTCTCTATGTCAGTCTCCTTGACGTGTTTGTCCAGTTTTGTAGTCTGAGACTGCTTTTCTCGGGCTGACTCAGGAGATCGAGCGGGGTATGGATTGCCGTGCGGGGCAGATGGTCCATGCGTCTTGCTAGGATTCAAAGCAGTATGTCTACCGTCACTTTGGAGTGGGATATCCATGCTATTTTCTGGGCGAGGGTTCTTAAGCTCTACCTGCGGATCTGGGGACGAATTGGTGAAGCCATAAGGCTTTGAATTTGACAGCATATGTTTCAATTAGCAAGATCCATTCTGAGTAGTACAAAACCACTTACCTGATTGTTCTGATTTTGCCAGTAGAGAGGCCTGGGCGCAGGATATGCTGGAATCGGAGGATATATCATTGAAGGTTGGAAAGAAGACGAGAAGTGCGTGTAAAGCGGGGACGAAATTGACACGGCAGGATAGTAAGGAACATATGTGATCCCGGAAAGTGAATCCACCAAGGGAGGTGGCACGTGAAATCCATGTTGCATGGTATAATATTGATTTTGCTGTAGTGGATATCCAGAATAAGAATATGGCTCGAGATACGGTTGTCCCATACCATTGACTTCTCCGGATGAGCTGAATTGGTGATGCATAGAGGGAGTTGTGTATGCGGGATCAGCGTGGATTTCTTGAAAATCTCCTCCAAGACTGAAAATCGGGTGAGAGCCTTGTAGTACATTCTGGTCTGCATCTTGTAATGTGCTTTTCTGCTTCGCTGCGAAGCGTGTTTTGGGTGTTGGGTCGTCCTTTCCGGGATCAACATTCTAAGGGAGCAAAGAATAACCACAAGAATCAGACATTCAGCATCCGAAGACTCGTCGCGCACTAGACTCGAAGCGGCTGACACGAGGGGACATTGGAGACTGTTGATATATGTGCTGGCCGACATCTTGAGAAGACGATGTAGTTTTGTCTGCTTCCGTAGGACCTGATTTTGTTGTGTGAGACACTATTTCTTTTTCTGCATTGCAGGGATGAGGTGGGAAATCAGCGGGGCTGATTATCTGAGCATTATGGATAGACCGCGACGCTGCTCCTTCTGCTCGGATCGACTCTGGAGAGGTCTCAGAGGAAAAATGCTCAGATGTGGAACCAAGTTCAGATTTAGACAAGTGCACCGCGCGACATATGCGCTGGTCCAACGTCACGATGATCATAGCCCAATAGATTAAAAACATTGTTTTGATCTTCTTGACCATGGAAGAAGCGAGGAAGTTTGGCATCAAGTTGAAGGAATCTCTTTCAGCGCTTTCAGATGAAAAGAAGCTCGCCACAGCTGGGATATTTTGCCTCGCCTGTCTGCTCCGAGCCCTACTATCGGAGTATTCTAACGGGGGTTGAACATCCCGATTCCCGCGCAGGCGGTCGGAGGTGGCTACATGAAATCTGTTTCTGAAGTGTTCGGGATGCATTGCGTAGTCGTATGAAGAGTGGTTTCAAGTCACCGGATTCCCTTCTAGAATCACAGTAACTTGTCTGGTGTAGCAAAAATTACCGTATCTGCCTTGCTGACTCCGACCGGCTCGGGTCGGCGGAGTACTTAGATAAGTTTACCGTATCTGTGGGATGACTAGAAAGCGGTCTTGCCAAGTCAAAGGCCAAACGCATTGTACGTACATACAAGGATTTGTGCACGCCTTTCTATGTGATTTCCCGAAACCACATGCGAGGATCGATCAGAGGAAAAAATTGATCTGAGGCACCGCAAAAGTGTTCAGAATAACAAATCAAGCTCGATTCATTGTCATGTAAAAGACTGCGATGAGCTCATCGCTCGTTGCTACGCCAAACAAGCCTTCAGCGTCTCTAAGCGCTCCTACAGCGTTCATGTCCAGAGAATTGGAGGACTGCCGGAGGTTGGGAATCGCGGGAATGGGAATAGGATGTATGAGCCTGTACTCACCGCCACGTTTCAGTCTGTTTCAGTCCAAAGGTTTAGACTGAGCAGTACACAATTATCCTCAATTATCTTCTTCGTAAACATTCGTCCCATTGGCCTACATAGAAACCATCCTGTCTATGTTTTTAATGCATTTTGAGTACAACTATGTAGTGCGCGACATAAGACTAGATCACATTTCGATGATCTTGACCAGACCGATCATACAAACATCCTACTATGAACATATCAAAATAAGAGTCTTACAAGCTCTTCGGATGATTTTTCTCACTTAAGTTGAGTAGGAGTGGGGAAGGGTTGCATATGAAAGGACCTACGGGAGATCCGGGTGAAAAAGCCTCGATCGCTGTCACCTGCTGTCACATGTTAAAGCATCGATCAAGCGCCATCATCAGAGCGGTCTGAGTGCAAGACCAACTTTGATAATGATCGGAAGAGAGTCAATCAAATGTCTTCTTTTACTTTCTTTATCGTGTTTCTCTCACTTAAAGCGCTCTGAAATTTGGACAGGCCAAATTGGTCTGACGGTGCTGTTTGTTCTAGCGTACGCTCTCGACTGATGTTGTTCTCGCGATCTTGTGATATTTTTGATCCTCCTGATTATCATTTTGTTATCTTTGTTGGTATCGATCTATGTGTGCCTTTGACACTCTGTACCAGTTTGGACTTGTATGTTTTTGATTGTACTATATCATTACTCTTTGGCTTTTAACAATGACTTACTCGGTTATTTGTTCATTTGTTTGATTCGAGTTTTCATTGATTCTTCTCTATCACGGAGAATATGATACTTCAGCTTATGATATCTGATTGAATCATTGGTGTTTTGTCAAAAAAACAAATCGTTTTTCTTGTTCGCCTCATAATTTCAATCGATATGTCGGTTCGGAGCGGTTATGAATCGATGATGTTACTGCTCTGGAACAACTGGAACTGCACAACCTCTCAATGCTCGGTGATTATTGGAAAGGAGGTAACTTTGTCTACAAACATACGCGAGTGACTGAAGATGAAAGATCAAGCTGCATATCTCAAAAGGCGTCTTGAACGTCTATAAGCCAACGGTGTGGCGCTTTGTTGGATGTTTCAAAATAAAAGTTAAGACCAATTGGGCGTTGACCAACCCCTGTATGCCTATTCATTCATACAGCTCCCAATCCCAATCCCATCCCATTCCCAATCTCCGGCAATCCTCTGGTGCTCCCTTCATGTCGGTAGCGCTGCCGGTGGAATGCTCCAAATTCAAGAATCTGGCAATTTGGGGAAAACCTGATGACAAAGGAAGCCAATTCACAAAAACAAAGGGAGGTGAGGAGACAACGCAAGCACTAATTGCGGAAGCGGAAATTCTTTTGAGTCAAAAACACAGGAACAAGAGACGCTATTGGGGTTGATGAGGGTTGATGGCAATAGTTGAAAAATTTCAAGTAACAAAACCAAAAATGACTGGGTCCTCTGGGGAAGGAACACATTCGAGCTGAACCAAAGCATTTTTCGCCCCATTCGCCAGTAGCAGCCACGACTGGAAACAGGAAGCGCATCGCGTGAAATTCCGAGTGCTCGTCTACTCTCACTGCGGGCAACGCCTGTGAGACGAGGGGAAGCACCGGCTATCGATTCATCAAATGAGTTTCATCCTCCACCTTGAGGACATTCAAGAACCGTGTTTGCGAGTCGCATTTGCCAGCTCAGCATCTTGTTTTTGCCAAATGCCGCAAGACCGCGACGTCTTCCTGGCCCCCTTGGGGCCCTGTTGAGTTGTCCTCGGATCACCGACTGATGCCTCCTTTGGGTCAGCGGAGTCAGCGATTGACTTCCGATTTGGAAGTCTCGTAAAATTCAACACAAGATTGGATTTCCACGGTACAAGCCAATTTTTTCAATTTTGCAAAAAACACCAGCAACAGCCTTTGGGAAGTTTCCACAAAACCTTCTGGTGGAACAAATCAACACAAGGTTCTGACAATTTGTGGAAAACCTGATGAAGGATTTAAAAAGTGATTTGGATCATCATGACCCGTGCTGCAGTAGACATCGTATAACCTATAGCAATCGTCATCGCCAATTTATCTACAGCAGCTACTCATATGTGAGAATCATTTTGTTGAGTTAGGTCGGCACGTTTTCTCGATGTGTATACAAAGTGACCATCATATGAGACGTCAAATTGACCTTGGCACACATCAGGCACCGCAAGAAAAGCTGCGAAAGGAGCAAATCGCATAGAGAGCGTGGTTTGTGTTGTGAGGTAAATTAAGTGATCGGCCAAAGGGAAACGCGTGAAGTCGGAGGTGACTTTTCTGATGAGAGAACTGAGCGCTCACAAGCAATGATGAATGGTCAGGGGGTCAGGAGACCAAAGACTTCAACCAATCTGATGATGAGCAGAATGAAGAATGGAAATCAAATGATGATGTCAGTTTTACAAATTTTCATTTAAATTCATCAGGACCTCAGCCGGATGTCGGGTACTCTATAGCCGGGGTTGATTCGATCAAAGTCAGTTTCCCAAATTCATCCAACCAATCAACTCACCTTCATATCAGTTTACTTATCAGATTTACAAATATCGAACCATCCACACACACATCCTTATCGATCAGCAGAAAAAACGTGAAATCAATCATGGCCAACGTTCCATCATCAGATAGCTATCTCAATATCTTCAGTACCCTTCCTGCCGGCAAAAAGCTCAAGCCATTCTCTCGTCAAGAAGTAGGCCAGCATGCGAAAGAAGGTGATTTATGGTGTATAGTCGACACCGCGGTCTATGATCTTTCTTCATTCGTCGATATGCACCCAGGTGGTGCATCAGTTCTGCTAGATAAAAATGTGGCTGGGAAGGATGCCACTGAGGCTTTCTTTGGTCTTCACCGTTCTGAAGTGTTGAAGAAATACGGCCGGTAAGCGTTCTTCATCCGAATGATCTATTGGATGACAACTAACTATCAGTCTCATCATATAATCGCTAGCTACCTGATCGGAAACATTCAAGGCGAGCAGCCGAAGTATATGCTGCAAAAGGACGGCGAGCTCTCCTTGGTACCTCACTCTGAGCCAGGCTGGCTTTCTAAAGGGTACTCGTCGCCATACTATAACGAAGGACATCGCAAGTTTCAGAAGGCCATGCGTCTCTTTTTCGATCAACACGTTACTCCTCAGGCTCGTGAACATGAATTGACAGGCAAGAAAATCACCCAAGAATTAGTAGATCTGATGGGTACAACCCATGTCAACGCCATGAGATTGGGCCCAGGTAAACACTTACACGGCTTGACATTACCGTCGGGGCTTAAAGGGGAAGACTACGATTATTTTGTAAGTCCTTCCAAGTGACACCCGCCTTATACGCCTCTAACCTCGTTTTCGCATTACCTATGTTATCTGCTTCGATTCTTTAGCATGAACTTATCCTCACTCAAGAGATGGGGCGAACCGGAGCCCGTGGTTTCTCAGACGGGATGTTAGGTGGAATGGTCATTGGTCTCCCGCCGGTGTTGAACTTTGGCTCGCCTGAATTAAAGAGCAAGATCATTCCTGAAGTTTTATCCGGCAAAAAATACATTGCTTTGGCTATCTCAGAGGCCTTTGCCGGAAGTGATGTTGCCGGATTGCGATGTACCGCGGTTAAGACGCCCGATGGAAAGCACTACATTGTCAATGGCACTAAGAAATGGATCACCAACGGCACCTTTGCCGACTACTTTTCCACTGGTGTTAGAACTGACAAAGGGCTCAGTATGTTGCTCATCGAACGTGGGGAGGGAGTAGAAACAAAGCCGATCAAGACTAGTTATTCGCCAGCTGCAGGAACTGCATATATCTCATTTGACAATGTTAAGGTTCCAGCAACGAACTTATTGGGTGTAGAAAACAAGGGATTACAAGTCATATTGTCTAATTTCAATGTTAGTCCTCTACGTTTTTGTCGCCCGACAAATCTGCTAAACAAGACTTTCTTTATCACAGCACGAGCGATGGATTATGTGCTGTGGAGTGATTAGGGCATCCCGCTTTGTCACTGAGGAATGCTTGAAGGTTAGCTTGAATTTTTCGAACGGTTTCCAGTCCTTTTGCCTTCTCAAAAAGGAGAGCCAAGTCCAAAACACTACGGCTAACCGAGTGGTTGAAACTTTTTCATTTCTAGTGGGCTCATCAACGTAAAGTTTTCGGAAAGCCTTTGATCAATCAGCCTGTAATCAGGTAAGTTGCCACGTCGATGATATCTCACGATTTACTGTTAAACTTCTTGGTATCACTTTTGCTGCAGACAAAAGTTCGCGCAGATGTTTGCAAAGTGCGAAGCCACTCAGTCCTGGTTAGAACATGTGACATATCAGATGAACAAGGTAAGCTTGGCTCATTGACTGATTGTTTTAATTTTACCTACTCATTCGCTACTTTACACCAGATGTCCTATGCCGAACAAGCCGATCTATTAGCCGGTCAGATTGGTCTTTTGAAAGCATATTCAACTCGGGTTGCCCATGAAGTTGCCGACGAAGCAGTCCAGTGAGTCTTTGTCGCATCATGCTGTTTAGTTCTTTCACGCTCCATGTCTCTAATCGACTTGTTTTACTCAGGATCTTTGGAGGCCGAGGAATTTCGGCTACCGGTATGGGTCGATTCGTTGAAATGTTTCAACGCTCGTACAAATTTGATGCCGTCCTTGGTGGCTCCGAAGGTTTGTCTAGAGTTCTTGTCTGTTTTGAATAGACTCGTTCATATAATGATGGCTGAGATCCAAAATATCCCAATTCTATAGAGATCCTCTTCGACCTGGGTGTCCGTCAAGTAAGTACAGCATGGACCTTCATCACATAATTGCAACGTACCCCTGACGTGTTTGTCTTCATCTTACTTTCTAGGCTATGCGAAAAATGCCGAATGCGGTCTTATGAGTCAAGAAGCAGTCCTCCTTTATTTTTTTCGCGTATAGCGATGCTCGTGGCTGTTCAAATTCCTTTTGCGTGTCCTTAACATTGGCCAATTAGTTGTGGGAAGGCGAAGAACCGAAAACACAAATCCTTCATTTTTTGAAAGTCGTGTATGATCAGTCCTTCTTTCTTTTTCGCCTTGTATGTTATTTTGTCATTTTAAGAGTTTGATGTGTTATGGTAGTGAGCAGTATTTGTTACGGTGGATTTATTTGTATCATCAGTACTAGTTATCTCGCGTGGCTATGATTCTTTTGGGGATCAGGGAGACTCAAGCATGTTACATTTCTTTTTAAATTTATCATACATGGTGGAAAGACAATGTATCACTTCAAGCAGGGAGTTTAATGTTTAGTCATCTGACCATAATCAAGTATGTCAAAGTTCATTTCAACATCATTCTTGACTCTCGTGCGTTTCAATTATCAAGTGACTCTCATGTTCAATGGTCTTCCTGGCTTGCTCTTTGAGTAATCTGATTCTATCAAGTGTTGATATCTTGCATAGATCAAACTATCAATCACTCAGCTTGTGTGAATAAGATTTCACATCTGAGTGTCTGAGACTGAAGTGGAGCACAGGATGACATCACATGACTTGATTTCCAGCTTGGCTTGGTGAATTACTATGGACAATGTTGAGGTTTTCATTGATATCCTCTTTATCAAATCATTTTTTCAATGTCTTATGAGTGAAATCAGGGAATAAATCAATCTTCATGTGCTCCAGTCTCCAGAATCTTTCACAAATCTTTCCTTGGGCTATAAAAGAAGCAATGCTGATCAATTTACATACTGTGTGAGCCTGGTAATTGAGGGGTGATGGCCCCGGAGAGCAGACTCTATCGGGGTGATGCTTGAGCGTGTCCGCCCCGTTATGCTCCAAAACGGGGCACCGCGTCGCATAAAGTAAATCGCGGTCGCGTCTTCGGACGTCAAATGCAGGAAATTGACAAATCCAAATAACACAATACCTTCGAACCCATCCTACAAATCAATCTAGAACATATCGAACAAGAAACTCTCTCAACTATGGCGATCCTAACAGACTAGTGAGCTCTTAGACCAACTCCTAAAGGGACCTGACGATTAGCTTATAAACTTCTTCATCCGGATTTGGGAAACGGCGTAACAAAAGCGAAAGACAGAGGCAAGAGAATATCAAAAAGAACCAATCCTTGCTTTCTTCACTAAGCATAAAGCCTCTGATCACCAAGCGAAAAGAATCCCCTTCATCCAACGCCAGCACGCCAGTCAAGAAGCGGGTCAAATCGCCTGTACAAAATGTGGTACCACCTAGACGACATGCTACTAGGTCTTCGATGCGGCTCAATGGACAAAAACTTGCTCCAGAGGAGTTAGAACTGAAGATCAAGATTGATGAAGAAGTGAACGAGAAGGCTAGCAAAGAGAAAGAAAGATTAAAACATTCAGATCGAACCTTGGTTGCTGAAAGCTGGAGAATCAAGGATGAAGATTCAGAAAGTTTGACAAACGGACTGTTTGAGTCATTTTCACCTAGTTTGTTTAAGCCACAGAAGTCTATGAAACAAGAGGAGGTAAATCTGGATTATCAAAATGGTAGTGATGATCAATATGACCGATTGGTAGATGAGTTGAATGGGATGAGACTGACAGCCATGAATAAGGTGTGCCCGAGCCGGATCTATTGTATGACGTTTCACCCGACAGTCGAAAAGAACTTGATTTTCATGGGAGATAAGGTGGGAGGGGTCGGGATTTGGGACGCGGCGGCAGAAAATCGGCAGTCTAATAAAGGGAGCACAAGTCAAGAGGTGAAGGAAGAAGCTTCAGATGAACCCGATGCGAAGCCTGTGAAGAAAGAGGAACCGGAGGAGGAGGATCAAGAAGATCTGGAGCCGGCAGAAGGACGTTCATTCTTTATTCAAGCTCATCCTCGATCATCAGTTTCTGCTATCCAGATTCATCCGACCAATCATCATCTCGTCTATACCGCCTGTTATGATTCGACCGTTCGTGAACTGAACTTTGAAACCAAACAGAGTACAGAGATTCTGGATGGGGACAGTCTGTCATCAGACGAGATGCTCTTCTCCGCCTTTGAATTTGCCAACGATGGTCGTGAGCTATACTGTTCTGATAACTCTGGTGGAATCTCACATCGTGATTTGAGAGAGCCAAAGGAAAAGGCCAGAAGATGGGAGGTCTCAAAGAAAAAGATTGGTTGTGTAAGTCTATGTCCCACCTCGGATAATCGATGGGCTGTTACCGCCGGCTTAAATCGAGAGATGCGGTAAGTTTCGTTAAATATTCGCGACTGTTCTTCATGCCGCAATTGTTGTGTATTTACTCATGCCGCAACCTTCCGTATCGTCTAATCTTAATTACTCAAACATCAGGATATGGGACCTCAAAATTCTCACCGGACTCTCAACCGACAGCGAGCTTTCAACGCTTGAATCCAAAGCTTGCGTGGTTAATTATTCGCATAGACTGGCTTGCTCTTCTGCTTTCTTTAATCCGCTGGGCAACAAATTGTTGAGCACGAGTTATGACGATCACTTGAGGGTTTGGGACCTTGATCTTAGTCAGAGTGATACTTGGGCTGAAAGCGACTTTGAACCAACCTACAAGGCCAGACATGATAATCAGACGGGTCGTTGGGTTTCGGTACGTCTTCAATCCCGATGTGTTTTTGGGTCTGTTTTGTGTGGATGTACTGACTCGGTCATATCCCTCTCATAGGTATTCAAGGCAAGATGGTGTCCGAATCCACATTTGCCATCGCATTTCACAGTTGGTAATATGAAACGTAAGTTTGTTAGTTTACATCAGGCTAGGTTGGTATGCATCAGGACTGATGTGATGCTCCTTTGATGGAATGACTACTGTGACACCGTACCACAGAGAAACTCGACGTATATTCCTCTAAAGGAGAGCTATTGAAACAGTTTACAGATCCTTATCTTACTACCGTGCCAGCTGCCACTGCTCAGCATCCTAGTCTCTCGGCACGGATAGCGGGTGGAACGGCGGGTGGAAAGGCTTATTTATGGACCCTTTGAATGATTGTCCATGTTTTTTTTCAATATTGTACCTTTCTGTGATACTCAGCATCTTTTTTGGCTTGTGATATCACTCGTAGATTACTTTGATTTGTTGTTCTTGTTGTTCTTGTTGTTTCTTATCTATTTATTTGCTTTCTGAGCAGGTTTTCTTACATAGGCTTTGATCCTGCCACAAGCTTGATTCGTTTTGTCTGTGCTCTGCTGGTTCAGGTTTCCCTGTAAATCACGCTGGAATACCTTATAGTGCATACTGCAGAACAAACAAGACGAAGAAAGGGTCAGCCAGTAAGCTTAACCGGTACTTTCATGGCCCTGATAAGCTATAACTTGGCCGGACCGAGAAAGTGATTGTATTAATACAAAGCGCATTGAAATATTTTCGTGGCAAGTTCTCTCTTTATATCTTTTTATATCTCATGAATTTCTCTTGCTTTAAGCTTCATTTTGAACATGGGCAATTCGAGCCATCCGAAAACTACGAACCAGGGCACTTCACGCGGCTTGAAATCGCCAAAGCCTCAAGTCACTCCGAAAAAAGATCAACGAGCTATCACAAGCTTCTTCACCGACGCGTCTCGCCAGAGACAGAATTCAATTGGGGATATCTTATCGGCAGACGAGAGTCCTTCGATCCACCCCTCTTCCTCAAAGCCTGTTGTAGTCACGGTCAAGCGCAAACGAGTGGTCGAAAAAGATGCGGTGCCATCGGTTACCCTTGATCACAAGCCGAACAAACGGAATTTGAGATCTAGCTCGAGAAAGAATTCTTCAACAAATCATAACAATGAGATAGCCATCGAAATACAATCTGATTCACCTGAAGAATTTGCGATACCTGCTCGCAAGTTACCTAAGGAGCCCTTGAAACAAGATGAAAAACGTGGACCGATAGATGATGATTTTGTTCCAGACGAAGGAGAAGAATACGTACGACCACCTGAATTACAAGATGATGAAGACGATGACTTTTGGCAAAATTGTTCAGATTCGAGCGGGACGCTTAGAGGCGAGAGCGTGTTCTCTGATTCAGAAAATGAAGACTTAATAGAGATACTTGAAGAAAAGTCCAACGCTGAAACGTCTGAGACCATTTGTCCAATCTGTAGCGTCACACTTGAGGGCGTCTCACTTGACGAAGCAGAGAGGCATGTGAATGGATGTTTAGATGGAAGCTCGAGCACACAACTTCCTACGCTTTCCACTGGTACTCAAAAATCACATCCTCGCCCCCTAAACTCTATTCGACCGCTTCCCAGCTCATCCAAGATCAAGTTGCCCGACAAGACATCTGACTCGCAACAAATCAAACTGTCGAAAAAAACCATCACATCCGAATCCAATGCTTTTGGTGCTCTCATGCGTGGCAAGAAGGAAGAAAATGCCTGGAAACTTTCTGAACAAGACTCAAATCACTCCAAGAAAGGAAAACAAAGTATGAAACGGTCAAAGATTGATCAAAGTGCAGTCAATGTACCTTTCTACAAGATTATGGAAGGTACTACTATCGCTGTAGATGCCTTCAAATATGGCAAGATCCCAAACATTACAGCGTATTTTTTATCTCACGCCCATGCTGACCATTACACCAGATTAAGTCATACCTGGGATCATGGTTTCGTTTATTGTAGTCAGACCACGGCAAATCTTATATGTCACAACCTCGGCGTCAAAAAACAATGGGTTAAGCCTCTGAAGGATAATGAACCTACGATGGTAGATGGGGTGAAGGTGACGGTATTGGATGCAAATCAGTTGAGTACCTTTTTCTCTTTAAGGCTATCACTTTCAAGTAGATGACTTCTATCTTTATTACTCATTCCCATTTATGTTTCTCGATAGCTGTCCAGGATCTTCTTTGTTTTTATTTGAAGGTGTCAAGCCACAAGGAAAACCCTTTCGGTATCTGCATTGCGGAGATTTCAGAGCATCACCTGCTCAACTCAGACATCCGGCGTTGAAGGACAAAAAGATTGATATTTGCTATCTCGATACGACCTATTTAAGTTAGTCTCCTGTTCTACTGCCATTTGCTCACTGATATCATTGAAAAAAATAATCAGACTTATTGCAAGTGACTTATATACGAAAATGTCTTCTTACCGCTTCCCAATGTCCAGACCCAAAGTACTGTTTTCCAGCTCAAGAACAAGTCATCAATGCATGTTCTGATTTGGTGAAATCACGAGTTGTGGATACCGATAAGACTGCTCTGAAACGAGGAAATGTTCCGGTTCTCAACAAGGATACTATAAAATCGGGCGCATTGCTCAAGGGTTGGCTCAATGCAGGACAATCGGCCAAAGAAGAAACTGAAACAATAAGCGCTTCTATCGATATCCCGGACGAGCCAAAGGATGTAAACCCCACCATCCCAGAAATGAAAGATAATGGCCCAAAAATCCCTCGAATTGTCAGTTAAATCTGACCAAGACGATCATGTTGAAGACTGATTTTTTGTCGTTATTTCAATGTTAGTTTCAAATGGGAACGAAAGCCGATTCGTTGAATTCAAAGGACGAATCAATCCTCGTCTTAATTGGAACATATACAATTGGCAAAGAACGAATTGTTAAACAGATTGCCAAGTCGATTGGATCGAAAATTTATTGTGACACACGAAAGTCACTGATCTTCAAATGTATTGAAGATCCAGAGTTACATGAATTGATGACTGATGATCCTTTTAAGGCTCAGGTTCATGTTACTAATCTCTTCGCGATCAAAAATGAGATGCTTGAAGAATATTTGCGTCGGTTTCGTGGCCATTTCACTCACAGTTTAGTCATTCTTCTTTTATCAGATGGCCTTATTTTGTAGCTCTCAATCGCTTACAAGTTCTCCCACTCTACAGTAATCGGATTGAGACCCACAGGGTGGACTTATAAACCTGACGCGTTGACCAGTTCTGCTCATCCCCCAGTGCCTAAAGTACTTGAAATGTTCCAGTCGTCTGAAGCTGGACCGTCCAATCACCCCGGTCGAAGTCACTCAAGCTTGTCTCTATCCTCAACGCGATAGTACGGAACGATGTCAAGCGTTTGGAGTACCCTACTCAGAGCATTCGGTTTGTCTCATCTGGACCTAATATACTTAGGCGCTCTTCCCGCTGTTGAGTCTATCATTGCCGATGGAAGGAATTAAACTGACTTGTTGTTATGTTTTTATAATCATCCGAATTAGTCATTCTTTGAATTAACATGTTTTTGTGTCTCGATGGACTGGGTGAAGATTATTCCGACTGTCAATTGTGGAAGTCCAGCTTCACGGTAAGTCACCATTCGGCCTATCTATACGCCATTCTCATAACTGATCAAATCCATTGGATCCAAAAGGGCAAAGATGAAAGTATGGTTCGAAAGATGGCAAGCTGAACGTAAGAGGCGTATTGAAGCCAACTTACCACTTTTTATTGAACCTCGATCTGAGGCCTACTGGTGAAAAGTCAAATTTTCTTGAAAGATTAACTTCCAATCTTTACACATAGATTATATTTTCATTTGATTTATACGCCAAGCAGTTTTTATATCTATGTATATTTACTTTTGATCAATTGTAGCATTGTTACTTATCTCTTCATCCTCTCTCTTGCTTACATGATCTGGCTGTTGTATCTTTAGAAGATAGCACATATGATGTTCATCACGAGAAATGTATCGGATTGTCTACTTTCAACATCGTTAAGATTTAAAGCTTTGACTAGAGAGAACATGTTCTTATTAGCACCCTCATAGGTAGGATCAAGCCATCCATATGCCATATCCGTCGGAGAGGCTCAGGGAAAGTCTCTATTTGACGACTCAACCAACTAACCTTGCATCGATACGTTCAAGGAGAGCCATATATGCTAGTAGCAGGGATAAATATTCAACGTTTGGACTTCTAGAAGCAACATAATTCTGAAATTACAACAAAACACATTGAGGTATCGCTATAAAACTGTAGTCCTCAATAATAGAAGTCACTATCGAATACTTCTTATACACGTATAAACACTGATTTTGAATATCGGAGAATTGATATTGAAGTAAATATTTAAGCAAAGTTTAATTTGATGGAAACTAAATGCCTTAATGCAAGATATGATCCATCAAAGTCTTCTAATGGTCTTGCCTCTTCGCCACATTGGACCACAAGATTTGACTTCTTCCAAGTATCGTCCGGTTTGATTGACGATCATTCTCCATAAGGTTTTTCATTTCACTTCTCTAGCTTTTCGACTTTCTTCATGAACAGCTTCCAAAAAGGCACGCATACATTCTGGATCTACACCAGGTGTGATACCATGACCTAGATTAGCAATATGAGGTAAATCACCTCTGAAACCACCATTTGATTTATCAAACATTAACTTGACGTATCTTTTAATTGAATCGGGTGAAGAATGTAAGATAGCAGGATCTAAGTTGCCTTGTAAAGCGATTTTAGTTGAATTGGATTCTAATGATTTAATAGCAAATTCAGGTTCAATCTTCCAATCTAATCCAATAGTAGTATAATCCGATTCAGATAATGATTTTAATTGATTTGATTGATTGGCTCCTTTTGCAAAAACGATCATTGGTACAATAGGTAAATTCTCTTTAATCAAACCTTCTTTAACTAATTTACCCACTTGAATTAGAAAAGGTAAACTGAATTTTTTGAAATCGTATGAATTAAGTTCACCTGCCCATGAATCAAAGACTTGAATGACTTGACAGCCCGATTTGATTTGAAGTAATAAATGAATTGAACAAACTATTGAAAGTTTTTCTAATAATTGGATTGATAGTTCAGGTTCTTCAAATAACCATTTCTTAGCCGTATCAAAACTAGTGGCTTTCGAACCATTTAAACCTGTTGAAGTTGTTCCAGCACTACTACCACTACCACCACTAGTCATATAAGCAAACAAAGTCCAAGGAGCACCTACAAAGCCAATCAAAGGTATTTCATTATCTAATGCTTCGACCGTTAATTCGATTGCATCATAAACATATTGTAATTTAGATTTCAATTCGATTTCATCGATCGGTTTGTTGATCATATCTTTCATTTCTTGATTGGTTTGAATCGGATTTGGAAAGATCGGACCTGGTTTCATAATCACTTCCATATCTAATGCTTGTGGTATCACTAAAATATCTGAAAAAATTATGGCTGCATCTAATAATCCTTTATATCTTTTGATTGGTTGCATCGTAATTTCAGTGGCTAAAGTTGGAGTCCTGCAAATTTCGAAAAAATCATGCGATTCTCTTAACTAGTCCAAAACCGGGGGGCAAGGGGAAGGGGAAGGGCAATTTTTGTGGTTAGTTTACCATTCTTTTTTGGTTTGGTTTGGTTTATGAGAAAAAGTGAAGAAAGATTACTTTACGAAATTCAGGTAAATAACGACCTGCTTGACGCATTACCCATACTGGTGATCTTTCAGTTGGTTTTCCAGATGCAGCTCTAATCAAAAGATCATTTTTAGGTACCCTTCTTTGATTTGTTGATCCATTCATGTTTCTTGATATTTTGGTGATACGTTTTTGGAGGGTATTGGTATTCTGGTCGGTTGTAGTTCTTGGTTGATCGAAAGGCTGATGGTGAGTTTTGAATGAACAAATTCATGAGTTTGGATTGAAATCCGATAGGTTGGTCTGTATTTATCAGAACTCTGTTTTGTTCAAATCTGTAGTTTCGGTTTGATCGGATTGAGAGTCGAAACAGCTTTAATCATCATGAGGCAGCTTCCTGGTTTATGACTTGATTGAACTTGATGAGATTTTTGACATGGAATTGGCTCATCATAGCTCAAGCCAAGCCAAAAAAATTCTCATGAGTGGCCCTCAGAAATGATAATTAACCACCCTTTCTTTTCAACATCTTGGTTGGAATTGAATTACTTAGTATGGATCTCTGTCTTTGAGGGATTCTCTCTGATTTATCCCACAAATACTATCATGATATTGGAGAACAAAATCAGGAGATTGAGAATGATATCTTGCTCTGTTTTCCAGGTTGAGAAGAATGATAACTTTGTTCAGGTAGAGTACTGAGTGAAGACACTACAAGACACCAAGTGACAGAGAAGAAATCAACACCTTTACAAAGGTTGATACTTGCACTCTTATCTATAAAGAGTTGTTAGGAGTCTTTGGTCTCGTACATTGATATGCTCATATTTCCTTAGATATAAAAGAAATATCACATCAACATCCAATAGGATTTCTTCAAATAAAACATCTTTCACATTACCTGCATGATGTGAACCCCTTGAAAACTCTTCATTTCTGAAGTGGAAGATTCAATTTAATATGCAACACAAAATATGAATACAAACCTTGAGGTTCAAACAAGTTGAACTTTCTGATGAAGTTAACATTTTACCCTTTACCCTTGGGCACTGGGAGCAAGCTTCTAGATACAAGAATAGGTTACAGGTGCCATGTGATGTAGCCACAACAGATAATGTGTAAGCCATTGTGTCACACATATTTGCACTCTTGTGCTGTACACCGCCAAAAAAGACCAAGGTATCCTTGGACACAAAATCTGAGTAGATGATCTGAGACAATCTTTGGGGCTAAAGAAAGTCTTAGCTAAATTCCTTGGACACACAGTCCAAGGAAATCTATACCTGAAGATACCTTGGATATTCCAATCTGAGGTATCTTTTCCAGAAGTTATGATTACCTTGCAAAAATCCCTCATCAACTCTATTGCAATGAGGATGCTCTTGACCCTCAGAATCATTAGTATATATAATCATGTGGATGATTTAAAACTCTGGTTCTTCCCACCTTCTTTATCTATTAACCAAAAAAATTAAAATACTCTCATCAAAGTATTCTCAAGTTTTCAAGATCTCTTTCTTTTTATATAATCTTACTGTTGATTCTTATAAATTTTGGATTCTTGTGTTCATCAAATAAGTTAATAAAATAATGTTTTTTTCTTGAAAGCAATTATTGTGTTGTGTTCTGTTTTTTTGTGTTTTTTTGACTCTGAATTACTTTGTTACCTTTGACAAGTCATACTGTTATGACATATAATAACAATGATGTCTCAGGCATCTTTAAACAATTCAACACCATCTTTTCAACTACCAAGCAGCCAATGGGAGAAATGACCTCAGCATGGAGGATCTCCTCCACCTCTTTGCTGATGTTGTTCCCAGAGACATCCCTGACTTTGTCTATTGGGAAATGTCCAGGTTTTCTATTGGGGTGGACTTCAAGGGTGGTAGCACCTTTCAAAGAACTGGTGAAGGAAGCATCAGCAACAATCACAGTGTAGCAGTTTACATCTTACCTGCCAGTTCAGGTTCCCCACCCCAAGTCCCCAAGGAGTGACCTGCTCTAAGGATCAGGTCTTCATTATCTTGCCCTTTGTGTAATGCCGCTGAAGCTGCCCCTGTTAGCAACACTGCCACTATACTATACAGTATTGTGATACTGTAGTATAGTACTGAGTTTTCAATACTATACTTTCAAAGTATAGTATTGAACTGTCTTTTTATATACTATACTTTTGAAGTATAGTATTGGAAACTCAGTACTATACTGCAGTATTGATTATAGCATTACTTTTGCTAAAAAGTTTGGCCCAATCGAGAAAAAATAAAACAGAATGTAGACCCAGAATCCGCCGCAGCAGTCACAACGCAGCAGAGAGAAAATTTTTGGGGTGCTGTGGGCTGTGGTGTGAGCACCCATCCATCCCATCAATTTCCCAGCTGCCGCCAAAAAAAATTCATACATATTCTCCATATCCCGGTTGATCACTTCGTTTTCCTCATTAACAAGCTTGATCGTCTAGAAAGGATGAACTGTTGTTAGAGAAGATTGTCATTGTACATGTAGGAAGTAGATCAATGAATTCTAGATAAAATTGGTGTAAAAATTAAATCCTTCAATCTCT